GTAGTTAAAAAAAAAAAAAATTAACTACAACACCACTCTGAATGCCCCACTCAAACCACTCCGATTTCCTCACATTTTCAAACCTGGCAGTCACTTCGTTTTAAAATTTTTCAAAATATTTTTAAGTGCAAGTAGAAGAGTAAATTCTTTTTTTATTTATTCGCAAGTTGTTTGGATATCATTTATATTTTTGTTAGTATCAAAAATAAAATATCTTTCAAGTAATAGTGTTTAAAAGATAAGGTTGTAAAAAAGCACTTTGATTGCCCCACCTTACCCTACGTGCCTTTCATATAAATGTATAATTAAATAAATAATTTTCTTACAACGTTATTAAAATAACCGCTACAAGTAAATAAGTACAGAGCTGTCCAAGCAACATTTTTTTAATGTTTATTTTTCAATATGTTATAGTTATGCTTCATTAACTATTTTAACATAAAATCTAAATTTTAGATCGTTGATTTTTTATTCTTAGAATAAGTACTTTATAATTTTTAATAAATCATAAATATAACGAAACAAGACAGTAAAAATAATAAAAAATTGTAGGAATTTAAAATTGGAATTTTTCAACCGTAAAATTAGCAATTAAATGGTTTTTTGATAGTTAAAAGTCGTTATAACAACTTCAATACATTAAATTTTCAAATACTGAAATTATTTTCTTGAGTTCTAGCAGAAAAAAAAACAAATATTTAGAATATCAAAATCCCGGATTACTAAAATCTGTCGATCTTATGTGTGTCTTATTTTTCAAGTAAGTATTATTATTTCTCTAGTAAAAACTGAAGAAAATAACTTTATAGGATAATTATTAATTATATAAATAAAGCTGTATAATTACTTTATAAGATAAACTATATAGAGGAAAAAGATAAATTTTTTCACCCTGAAAATGGAAGAAAAACAATTTTTATAAATCGTAACATTCTTAATAAGGCATAAAACTCCATTTTTTTTCGACTTACTACAAGGACAAAAAAACCAATGTCTTAAGCCTTGGATCATTATAATCTGTAATTATGGATCTGACATTTATCTTATTTTTTAAGTAGGTACTTTGCAATACGAAATACTGTAATTTAATAATTAAAATGCAAACCAAAATTAAGCTTTTTAATACTTTGTCAGATAAATCTCTGTATGAAACTTGATTCGAATGTTTTTACCCTTGAAACAGCAAAAAACCAGTTTTTGAAAATCGAAAAATCGCAACAACCCATTTTAAGCCCATGTTAATAGAATCGTGCCTGTACATGTAAAAACTTTTTTGAAACACGTAATTATTGATTTGAATGAAATTCTATCAATGTATCCGGGGCTTACACTTTCCACAGTTTCAAACATCCAAAAAAAACCTTTAAACAAGTTTCGAATTTTCTCGAGTAACCATTTCAACGTAAACAGTCGCATAAACATTTAGAGTACATTATCAAAATAAACACGAGTAAAAGAAAGTAGGCTGGAAAATCACGAAAAAAAAATTCAGCAACGAGCAAAACCCTCAGACGCACCAGACGAGAACCGAAAGTTGTACAGAGACCGCAGACTACCAGACCGGCTTACGTGCGCTTTATCTATCCTCGTCAGTTTCATAACCGTAAATCAAGAGTCGCGGCGGCGGCCGAGCAAGAAAATGAAAGATGCGCCAACGCCGGCGTCATTAAATTCGCGTCACGATCACGCACGCACATTTTTTTCCATACCTTATAATGTAACTTGCATTCGCTTAGCTCATGAAGAGCAATGGAGCTCGTGTATACGCGGAATTTCGAAAAAACATCGTTCCTTGATTAGAATCGTGTTCACGCCGAGTAACTCTTGGATGCGTACCTACGCTCTTGAATCACGGCTTTTTTTTCTCTCCTTCGTGCGTTTTCTAAATATACTCATCTCTCGCGTGTAACAATATACTTACCGATCCTACACATAAAAAAAAAAAAAAAAAAAAAATTATCACGCCTAACTACGATACTCATGTGCCAACACCTTGGCTAATCATATTAATAACACAGGATGGAGGCCGCAGACACCTGTTTGCTCGTCGTACACATATTATGTGTGTGTATACTCCAGTGCCGCAAAAAGCTCTCGCGCTAATCCTCTCGAAGCTCATTTTACCGCCGCACAACATTACAACGTCCACACACGCACATCGGCGTCGCAAATTAACATCCAGACGAGTGCAGCCAACAACGCAATTAAAGCTTCGATTATTAACGCTTGCGGTGGAAAACAAAAAAAAAAATAATCCGAAATTGCATCGTCTCGGTGCTGATCGAAAACGCGATGGAAGCAGAGTAACTCGTCGTATCGGTCGGTGAAAAGGATATTTTCATTATTAACCGGTGATTTATGGATCCGAGAACCGCGACCTTGTCGGCGAACTGACCGTCTCGCGAGCTTTCTTTTTTCTCCCCCCCCCCCCTCACCGTAGATATCGTTGACGGCAGAGAAGAGGCTGTGGTGATTAAAACCGCGCGAGGCGACGGCGAGCGTAACGAGATGCGTAATTCAATTTTGACGGCGCTTTCCTTTTTTTTCCATAGGCTCCTACTGTCTTATCAAGGATCTCGGCGACGTGGAACGCTATTAAGTGCGTACTCACACGAATTGAATCTGTCAAAAAGCTGACATGTAATAAGACCGCCAAATCACATGTCGATCGATCGAATTGACATGTCTGTGTGTGTAATTATGGAATTCATTAATATATACATATATTTACTTGGATAGGAAACTTTAATACAAAGTATTGGTGGGGAAGTAATATAATACTAAATGTTGATGAAGTGACCACTACCTACGGGATTGTAGAGTAGAAAAAAACATAGTGTGAGGTGTACATACAATTACACTGAGAGAAGGATTCATTTACTATCAACAGAAAATTAGTTTATACGTTCTGTATAACTTTTTAAATTTTAACTGTACACTACGGCATGTTAATATTTAACACATGTTAACGTTGAACTTGCGCCACATTAGACTAAACTACGTGGGATACTTACGTAAGTTATCATATAAAATTAATTAATAACAAATTCTTCTCTCAATTTAGGTATACATATTTATACTTCTTTTCAAAGATCTCATCCTACATGTTTAAAAAAAAATCGATGACAACTCGAGCACAAAAAAACTTAAAGATAAAAGCTAGAAAAAAAACAAAAGTACTAACGCGCGCCAACTCAGTCGAGCAGTAACGCGGAAACACGAAAAAGGAGACAATAAGCGCGGCTCGCGTTCACCTTCTCGCACACATCAACACGAACAACACCGTATGCAACTGCACATACCGAGTGAACGCTCACCTCACCCCAGCTACAGCGCCTTTCTAAAATAAGCTCCCGCGTAAAATGTCAAGGTTACAGTTATACCGGCTGACCGGCCGGCCCAACAATAATACGTCAAGCACACATATATACGGATTTGAACGTAATAGCTACAGCTACAGATATGTAAGTAAGTACTCGGCATCATTAGCATTTCGAGCGTATTTTCCAATACCATGCACACACAACAACACGCGCCCTTTTGCGCTCCGAATGTGCCGATTCTATCTTTCGCGTGAAGGTGTGTTCTCTCGTGTTCATATACGCGTGGAAGATAAGATTTCGTCGCGCACGAGTATTACTTACACAGTACCAACACCCGATCGGTTAATTAATGCATTCACGTATACTGTATGGCCACTGGAGGTATGTGCAGAGCGTGGGCGTGTTACATTTTTATTCCAACAATCGAGTTGATGTCTGATATAGTCGATTCACGCCCTCGCGCTTGACAGTGTAGTGGTTCTTGATGTAAGAACGGGTTTTTATCTGTGAACTGAAAATTTATTTAGATTTTAAGCGACGAAATAGACACCTTTTTTGCAAGATCTTGTCTTGCTAGATATTGCTCTGTTGCTCGTGTTCTGTAATTGAATGGCGAAATTCTGTCTTAATCGCGGAATGTAGGCGGATTTACGCGAGGTAACATTTCTATTATCAATTAAGTGAAAAGTATGGAGAGAAAAATATACAGGTATATAATTATTAATAAAGGTTGAATTGGATT